GGTGATTGCATCAACATAGACTCAGAGACCAAGATAGTTCCATTAAATAGGTTATGAGATATTCCACCGTGTCAATTTCATTAGTGTAGTATAAAAAGGTTACTTCCATTGTTATATAATCATTTTTTAATAAGAAGGTTTTCATTCATTTATTGTTGTTTCCATTTGTGTCAACCCACCAAAATTGAAAGTCTGAATTATAATCACTAAACGCACTAAATTAAATAAGAAGTAACATGCAATTCTGAATTCTAGCAAAACTATAATTTCCCTAAAACAAATGTTTTAAGACGCTCAATCGTGGGTTCAGAACCTTCCGAGACAGACTCTCTTGATATAACCGGGGCCTCCCATGTATAGTTCTAGCCAAGTCAAAATGAGCTCTAAATAAATAATTTCTTGGAGTAAATAAAGTACTAAATATCATGGACATTAGACATGGGAGAGGTGATTATTACCCGGTACTTGCAACTAACACCTGAATGAAATGGTACCGTGGTTTATAAAAGTTTAATGTTGCCATAGGGTGGTAAGTCCCCATTCATCGTAGTCTGATAGTTTCACTGCATCCTAATATATGTACTTATCTGGAACTCCAGACAAATTAATTTAAATTTGGAACTTAGTCGGATAATTTCATTAAGATTCCAGGATGAATCACAGACTATTTAGCCTAATGTTATGATCCCCTTGATTATAGTGGGGGGGGGGGGGCCAATGGCATAAAATGGCACAAAAAACATATCACAAGACAAGGTTTGAATTACGAGTGAGACATCAACTGATCAACAATCTTTCAAGTTGTTCGCATAAGTCTATCTACTTTTTAAAACCATGTTACAAAGTTCACTAACTTTTAGAAATATTTAATGAAAATTACACTAGCGTAATCATTTGGAAACCCCCGGCCCCCTCCCCCTCGGCTGATTACGTAATATGTGAACGACCCCTATGAGTAATGAGTATCCACTATCCAGAGAAACAAACTGTTTCAAACCAGAAAACCAAATCGGAATAGATACATTACAACAATTTATGAGTCAAAAAAATATATCAAGATTCAAGATAACATAAAAAGTAACATTTACTCAAATAAAGACAAATAGATATAAATAAGATTTAAACAGAATTTCAAATTACGTTCAATGGAAATGAAAGATTAGCCCTGAGATGATTTAAAGCTTCTGGATCATCTTTATTTAACTTAAGTTTTATAAATTCGATTGCTAATCATAAACAAAAAAACATAAAACTTGCTTTTCTCAACATAATGTTTAACCCAACCGCAAACCTTACTCCTAAACATCAAAATTGTTTTTCCTCAAATCAATTTTCCTCAATATAGCGATAGTCACAATCTTTAATAAAAATATGATGAAATATAAAAGATAGATTTGTGGTAATCTGAAGCAAGGTTGTTAAATACGTCAAATTTTCGTGAAAGAATACGACGTATTCGGTTCTAATAAAGAATACGTCGTAATACGCCGTAATACGGTAATTTTTATGGATTGTTAAATACGTCCACGAATACGCCATAATACGCCGTAATACGCTGATTTGTCAAAATTAAACATTACAGCTGCGCGCCAACCTCATCATCGATCATGCATTAAAGGAGTGCAGTTATACATGATAACTTAAATTTGTAATCAAATTTTATGGATAATCCGATAAGCTAACATTTTTTGCGAAATTAATGTTAGCTTATCGAAATTTTCGTAATACGTCAATTTTCGAGGATTAATACGTATTCGTATTCCAATACGTATTCCCTCCTAATACGTATTTAACAACCTTGATCTGAAGTAAGGTTGTATTAGGAGATCAATTTAGCGGCCAGTATTTTTGCTTGACAGTGATTAACATTATGGTTTAGTAGAATCTTTAAGTACTTTTACCCACTCATCAAGAACCTGGTGCCACTCATAGGACACGCCCACTTCCTCGCTAACAGGGAAAGTCAACACCTTGTTATGTTGTATTTTATATCGGTAAGCAACACCTTGATTGGAGATTTTAACTTTATTCCCAGGATCATTGCACTGACTTCCTCCACATTGTACAACAAAATATTCCAACAATTGAGTGTCAAGTGTGAAGATAGCCTCCCCAACTAACTCACACTGAGATCTATCGCAAGTCCCGTCCTCACAAGGATCACATAAAACAAACCAGGAGGGTTTGTTGAGAGGCACGGCTAGCTGGTACTCGACACTTATAATAAAGTTAACTCTGAAGTGGGAGTCTGATATCCCGGTTACAAGCGCGTAGCTGACAGGGGCTCGGTAGTTGGTATCAAACACAGCGTTCCAGTGTATGTGTCTGAATAGTTGGTAGAGAGGATAGTGGGCAAAGACAGATCGGACAGGGGACGAGTAGTAGGCTGTCGGGGCGGTTCTGGAACCTTCATATAATACCCAACTAAATCCTAAAACTACTTCACTTGGGATAAATAAAGAAAACGTTGAGGTACTGAATTCGATCTCTTTGTTCACCGATGGAAAGTCAGTATTTCCCTCAAAGTTAATTAGTATTTTCAAGTAAGTCTCATCAAGATTTGGTTCAAAGTTGTCACCACTGTCTTCACTTTGAGGAAGCACATTAGATGCTATGAGTAAGAATTCGTCTTGATCTATAACCCCGTTATTATCAATGTCATAAGCTTCAAACAATGCTCTTTGCTGAGGAGTCATATTCCTTCGGCCGTCGAGATTTTGGGAAACAAAGACGAGAACATTCTGTTTGAGCAGAGCTAAAAATACGAAGAATAAAGAGCAAACCAGAACAAATATTCCACTGTCCAGAGCCATGGTGATTTTTGCGGGGTACAGTGACCAGTGTAGAATTCTTATTCGTCCTTCCTAGAGATATAAGATGTTAGGGCGGGTTTTACTTGAAAATCTAGTCAGCCAATTAACAAAACTTCAGTACAATTCGACGCGCAGCATGGTTTTGCAAATGCTAGCCATACGCATTTAAACTTTATATACAGTAAACTTTATCGTGCGCAACGTAAACAGTATGACTGATACCACAGTGGCAGAAGGACTTTCGACAAATCTGTTCCAAATAAAAAGATCGAAAATCGAGTGTTTTAGTGAATAACTTAGAATATAAATTTATGATTTACTTTAAAGTAGAAGTTTTGATAACCCAATCCCTTACTTTCATTACACAAGTTTCGGTCACTGTCCAATTAAAATTTTTACCCGGCGAAACAAACATTATTTACAGACCATTCAAAATTCACTAAACTTAAAGTTTATAACCAAAATGTATGGCATACACCGAAAGTTAAGTTTTCCATAACTCGACAATCTCAAAAACAAACCGGCAACACAATCATTTCAGCAAACGTTTTCCTGATTTAGAAACTTTCTAATACACTCACTAAATACTGATAAGATTTCCAAAATCCCTGCAATAACTTGCCCCAAAAACTGGTTATGACATCGTGAGATACTTCGCATAAACTTGAATAAATCAGGTTTATTAACCTTCACAAAACCCTCCAAGCACATAAATCTACCGCCGGGTTTCAACACTCTGAACGCCCTCCTCTACCACTTTTCTCATGTGTTGCAGTTTCTAATGCCATACGCTATCGTGTAAAATCAAAGGGTGTGTCCCGGAGGTTCCTAACAGCTCCGCATTTCCTTCCAACCAATAATAACATCCCAGCCCTGAACTCCCTTGCTCTCTCCTGACCCACTTCTCAACACTCCTTGTTTTTGATATCACACCCAACTATTTTCTCACAGTCCCTATTTATGTTACTCATGTGATTATGAAGTTTTTGAAGGCAATGCCCCCCGTCCCTCTAGTCACACGCTACATCAGACATTTATATTTTGGTTTTGGAGCTGCTGATGTAAAAAAATGTTCCTTCCAAATCGGTGTAACTTCCGAGTTACATAGCATCGTTCTTAAATCGTATGTGTCGGCCACTCGCTCGAAAACCTCCTTACATTGCTCTCGTTTGTTTATTGTTTTTTTTTCTTCTGATTCTGGTGATAGTCCTGGTAACCGAAGTGAGTTTCGTTTTGTCATGGTTACTTGGCGTTGTTAGTAAAGATCTGAATCACACAATTGTGTTCTATGGATTGTGAAACAACACTGACGTTGCTAAGAAACGAGAGGAATAGTTGGTTGCTAAGATTCGACCACGAGCGTACAACACTTGAACGATAATAACAATCCTGATTTGAAAGATATGTTAATGATTGCAATAAAACGAGCATTAAATGAGAATAATTGGATAACCATTGAGCTATTAAACCTCAATTTAGTCTCAACAATCTGCGGTTAGCGTTAGCGTAACTTTTAATCTATTGGCAAATAATATGTCCTTAAATAACGTTTACAAATCAAAAATAAAACTGAAAACGGATATCAATTAACATTATGACATTATTCTGCTAAGAAATAATTAGTATCTTCACTAGTTAAAGATCATCCTCTCAAATATAAAAATATTAACTACTGAATATCCTAACGAAAAAGATTGTAAAGAAATCTGATACATTGAATCATGACCTACAATCCCAATATCTACATATTCTCTGAATGTCAAAGAACGAGCTGCAGATTATTGACTAATCTCATTGTGTTTCCAGTACACAGAGTGTACATTAACGAACCCTGTCACCACTCGTTAGTCGTCACCCTCCCCAATAAACCGCAGCAAATATAATTAAATATAAGCCATTTTCCTGCTCTCTATAATTTAAAACCAATTCCCCCAGGATAAATCGTGTTTTTTGTAGCCATGTTTTCATGAAAGCAGCATATAACACACCCATCAGTCATTACAGCAGTATGACCCCATATATCAGATCTGCAGCTATAGGTGAAGGAAATACAGGCATCAATAATCTCCTATCACACTTATTTCCTTCTATAGTTTTTCAGCTCTGTCGAAGCTGCTCTTTAGACTCTGCCTTGTACCGATCCTGCTAACATCACCATTGACGCTGGGAGCGCCTGGTTTTGTGTAGTTTTCTCTGGCACGTGGTGTACTAACTCTTCTATTGGTACTGTGAACACGTGTGATACCTGAGGTAATACAGAGCGTGATTACGTACATATTAGGGTGTTAATATAGAGTATATATATTATTGAACTTGGAGGTGTACCCCGAATTCCAGGTATATTAGGTTTCAATAAGGTCCAGAAGTCAGTTTTATCGAATTCTGATAAAAAAAGGATTTCAAATATTTTTTACCACTCATTTTAAAAAAAACCACGACTTAGAACGAACAAACATCAAACTTTTAAAATAAGTAAAAATAATTGAAAACTTTTTTCTTTTAAAAAACTTTTGAAAATCTTGATCTATAAAAAAAATTTACCATTTATGAAGTTTATGATTAATACACATCAAGTGTAAAGCGGGATAAGAAATATATCTGAAAATGGAGAGAAAATAAATATTCAAACACTACAAAAACAATAAATAAATATCCAAACACTACTTATTATCAATGCTTATCTTAAGAAACAGGGTTCCCGATCGTGATGTAAAGAGAATGGTTCAGATGAATGAATCGCAAGGACAAATGATAGCAAGCGCAGGTCAAGCTTCATTGTATCGTCGGGGTGAGCGGGATAGAGAGGGGGCTAGTGATGAGTAGTAATATACTTAGTAATCAGTATCGCGTCCGGACTTACATGCCCATCTCTTTCATTTAGCTAGGGGTATATGGGTTGATTGGAACTGCAAGTTAACATTTCAGGATCAAGACATTCTCCATCTCCTCTTTTTATGAAGCTTAAGCAACAATTTTAAATCTTGTGAGTTGACCTGGAACAATAATGGAATTTAAGAACACAACTTTACATTATCGATTTTAATTTACAGTAACTAAACCTGGGGGGTATGCAACGTCCATTAATGTCAATTAATGTCAATTAATTCAATTAATGTCATTAATGTCAATTGATGTTCAATTCAGTTTTGCAAAATTTTGGAAACTGACAGTAATTACACGATAATTTTTCGACCAGAGATTTATGTAGTTCCTACCAGATTTTTAGCACTTTTTAGAAACTTTCTACATCAATTTATTCACTACTATCACATATGGAAATGGAAATGTAAAATTCAAGATCATTAAACAATAAAACTAAAATAATAAAGTTTTCGAAATTTAATTTTCTAAATGGGCGGGCCACCAAGGGAGTGGTTCTCAACATCCATCAGAACTAAAACCCGCATTAAACGAAATGCCTTCATAATTTATTTTTGAATAACAATCTTAAACAGCTAACATTACCCCTTCATACTAAAAAAGCCGATTCCTAGATATTTTTAACCTGTATAATAAACCAATAAAATAGGGCGTGGCCGGTGGGGACCGAAGATGCGAATAGTTTGAAGCTAAATTTTTTGTTGTGGTCCTTTGAACCTAGGATCCACAGATAAGAACATACTCATAATTAATTCAAGGACATTTTGTTTTTTTTGAACCGGTCTAAACTACATAGACGTGAATATCTTGATATTTAAATCGGAATAATGATAATCTCAAATTTCAAGACAATATTAATGTCCAATTAAATGTCAATTAATGGTCAATTTAATTCAATTAATGTCAATTAATGTCAATTAATGTCAATTTAATGTAATGTCAGTTGGGTTTTTATGGAATACGAACATTAATTACGTTTTGCATCACCCCCCTAAACCTGAATTTTAAACATCTTAAATGTAACCAATTACCAGAACCAGGAATTTGGGTTGATATTATAATCTGGAAACTGAAAACAGTTTTTTGACGATCTGCAATACCAATCAGCAAAAAAAACCATAAAAAACAATCGAAATTGGATATGAAACTTGATAGTTCACATAGTTTCACGCATAAATGTCGAAATAAATTGATTCCCATATTATTTTCTAACCTCGTAAGATCAGCTCGTCGTGAAGCTGAAGAACCAAGTAACGCCACGCCGGCGCTGCCCGTCACGATGCCTGCGCATCAGGACGGAACGTCCTGTCTCTGGGAGTGGGTTAAGGCGGTGTCAGGATACTTGTTCCCCAGGAAGTTGTCTGTACAATATTCACCATGGCCACCTTTCACATGTCAGCAGCAGATCCCTGTATGGTGGTGTTGACTGCCTGGCGCTGCGCTGCGCCTGCACGCCGGGCTTGAATCACTGTATATGTTGGGTAGAAACGGCACTCTGTGTAAGATCGTCTCCACTTACCTTTCTTCTGGCACATATTAACTGTTTTGGGATGTAGTTCCTCCAGACCGAGTATCTGTGTTTAAACGCCTCCACAACTCCCCTTGCCTCTTTCTTCAGAGCTGCCCAACTCTTTAGCCAGACTCACAGACCCCATTCCATACAAGATACCATAACAGATCAGGCTAGCATGAGCTCTCTGCTCGGGGTCCCATCGGAGACAGAACACTGTTTCCACCCAGCTGCCACTGCTTTAAAACACATCCTCCTCCGCTGTTCGGGTTGACGAGGGTCTCTTAACTTTCTTATCCCCGCTCATGTGCCCTAATATTTCTCAGTTTCTAACTGAGAGTAATCAGCAGCAACTAACACACAACCATCACACGCTCAAACATAGGTTTTAGAACTGCGCAAACATGCGCTCCCTGCTGTAAAGCTACTGTCCTGTTCACTTTGCGATAGTCAGGAAAGTCTAGTGGCAAACTCCTTGGGATGTTCGAACGTTAGCTCCCTAAACTGACTCCTCCAGTAAGGAGTACGTTTCAGATAATTGAGGTGTACCCCTGTTCAATTTCAACCTGTACACATACGATGGCAGACTGAAGTGGCAAACATAGTCCTGCTCAGAGCACTGGATATCTTCCTCCATAATAGCACTACTGCGGGTAGCGGGTGAGGGAGACAGGCGAGTTAGCACCTCCTGTTGGTGCTGAAGAACTCCTCCTGCGCTCTGTGCATCTAGGAGCTGGTTTCTTAGATCGTGTGGTGGCAGGTGAATTTGCTGAACAGTACTTCCTGACAGCTCACTAGGGAGAAAGGAGAAAGTAGTGTGGGCTAATGTATAAGCTAGATTTTCCAGCCGCTCCATATGGTGCCCGTGCATCAGCTGTCACTGATTTCCCATATTCTTCAACAGAAAACCCTAACCCTAAGCATCCATACGAGCTAGAAACACGAATACAGGGACACTCCTACTTCTTTGTAAGATAACAACAATTTTTTCCGTATTCTTAAGTTCACTTTCTAACGTACTGTGGATGTGCCAGCCTACAAGGCGTCTAAAGCACCCTTACTCGAGGAGTACTGAACACTGGAACACAGCTGTCTCCTCATCCCACAACTCTATAGCAACTTCAGGGATAAATTGTCCACTAGAGACACACTGTTAGGGTTTGAAAGTTGTAGTGTCAGTAACCAGGCCGCTACCATAACAGTCCCTCACATCTTCTTTCTATAGAAGAAGTCAAGGGAAGTTCTAGAATTTCATGAGTCCTGATACGAACCCTTATTCTCTGATATCTACTTCTCGCATGCGCTACTTTTTCGTTAAACGACATGTCTAAAAAAGAGCTGTGTCCAATGAGACCTGTTGTAAAAATATCAGATAAAGTCTGGACCCCCACCATCTCCAGAGATAGTTCAGAAGTATCATTGGAGTACAACCTGATAACTCAGGGGCTCTTCTACATCCTCCTCTAAACAAACGTAATACCTTTCCATACCACCCCAACAGAAAGGCAATCCCTACAACTTGAGTACTCTCCAACACTGTTGCGCTGCTTCTCCGATACTCTCAGCAAAAGAGAGGGTATTATTGGCGGGAGAACTGTTCCTGAGCCATCACGTGATCCCCGCTACTGATATGAGTACTGAGACTTACTTTCTCAGTTCCTCAACAAAAACAATTCAAACATGCCCCGGTCCCCTGAAACATCTACAATAGAATAGCTAGAGGTAGAGGTGACTCACACAGTTTTTAGTCTTAGCTATTTCTTGAAGGGGTGGCGTAAGGAGCCTCACCTGCTGGAATTACTCACAGTGGATAAGAGGAGAGTCAGGTTGCGTAAGTAAGCAGAGAGTGAGGATGAGAAGGGAGGAGAGGAGGGACGTCATGTCATCCATCTGCCCAAACGACCACCTCTCCTGTCCCCTCATTGGTACGGTTCCACGTATCCAGACTACTGATACTATGCTTATCATCCTCTGTAAAAATAAAAACTGTCTTACTTTGGTTCAACTGGTTAGTCGGGAATTGTTTTTAAATTCAGAGGCGATTTTAGCTGGGCTCCCCTATTTTCTGCTTTTTTAGAGGATAATTTTGCGGGACACATACTCGTTCGTTAGGAGACTCCTTTTTAAGCATCCTTCTCTACGCTGGCCAGCCAAATCTTTATCCTACTTCACGAAAAACCCAGGCGACAAAATTGAATTCGTCGAATGAAGAAGAAATGTCGATTCGTTAATTCTAACATTTTCTAGCCTTTACTAGATGTTTCTGGCCCTCTCCTAGTGTCCAACTAAACTGGATTTCCGCTTAGAGGACGCTCTAAGTATTACAGATTGAGTTGTTCTGTGGGTGAGGATAACAGAATCTCCATAACAATGATGTCAAGTCAGTTAACAGCACTAGCACTAATCCGAAGTGTTTCTCCACCCTACAGCGGGAAGATTCCCAACCTCACCCTGATAAAGAGCATAACTCCGTCCATGTGACTTTTTTCTCTTATCTATAGTTTTAAAAGAATGTCCCGACAAGTCCTACCCTTGAAGTCCATCTGAGCCAGGTCCCTCCTGCAGGAGCTCCTTGAGCACCTCAGCTATTCTATGACTACGTAGCAGCCTCAGCTACAGTAAGACCATGTCCTCTTATCTTAACCAACTCCTCCCTTAGTCACCCTCCTTGTCTTTTAACAGGCAACACTCCTTAGTAGCAGTGTTTTTATTGTCCTGATCAGCGAGGGAGGAGTTTAGCAACACCAGTGTACCCTTCATTGTACAGTACCCTGGCTAGAGGTCCAGTGAGAAGCCGTACTCTGACCAGATCACACAACTCCTTCTGTACCCCACTGAACAGCTCACTGTAGATT